AAAATAATTTACACCACATGTATAAATAATATTGATATTTAATTGGCTACTGGAAGTTTTTTGAATTGGTTTGACTGTGTTTTGTTAATCAGAATCTTTGATTTGTAATTCTGTAGTTGAACTTTTTGTTGTCAAATTTTCTAATGAGATGATTGTAAATGTGAATGAGTGGTGTATGAATTGAAAATTAAGATAATGAGTATCTTTGAGAGTATGGGTTTTTTTGCTTCCAAAGTATTTCTAATAATTTTGATTCTGTTCCATGAAATGTGTTTGGAATAATTCTATCCTTTTTTAAGAACCATCTGAAAAATAAAAATTTTAAGACCATCATCTTTCTTAAAGATTGATTGGAATGAGTTTTGATGTTCTATGAATTTGTCAAGATATCTGAATAATTTTTTTTTTGTGAACTGATGCCCAAGTAGAGAGGCTCTTCTTGTCTTAACTGGAAAAGAATTTGATTTGAATAATAGAGAGATTTTCTGTTTTTTTTTGGTTAGGTTAGGTGTAAGTATAAGCCATCTGAATAGATGATTTGATAGGTATGAAATAGTGTAGGTGTTGGAAGAATTGATAATAATAATTTTGCCTTGAGAGTCTTGATATATGATTAACACTTACTGCTTGCTTCTCTTTATTAAAACTATGTCCAGGAAAATAGAAGAGAACATGTGTAATATATTATTAGATATTGTGATCATTGATATTATTGGTATGGCATGTTGAGTAATTTGGATAATTAGCAGAGAAGATATTGTAATGGAAAGTTTGGATATAACATAATTAGTTATGATATTTGATTTGTTACATGTTTATCATATGTTGTTTGTGGATATAATGTTTGATGAGATTTTATTAATAAAGTGTTTTAATATGAATGTGCTCTAATACAGATATGTTTGTTATTACATGTGTTGACACAATCTGTTGCTAGAATGTTTTGATATAGACGTGTCTTGTAAATGTGTTTTGTTGATATATTTTGTTATTTACAGTTGATTTGACATGTGCAGATCTTGTTTACTTGACACATATTGAGTTTGTTTACTTGTTATTATTGAGATTGACCTTTTTTAAAGAATGTATTTGTGATATATTGATTTTGGAGAGGGTAAACTAGTTTTGGTTTTTATGAACTAATGTATATACAATAAGGTTTTTCTCTTATCTCTATAAAGATGATAGAAAGTTTGGCATTCTTCTAGCTCAAGAAAGGTGATGAGGTTGTTTAATTTATCAGATAAGATCTGGTTTTTCTTGAGTTTCTATAGTGTCTAAATGAGGTGTTTAACCTGGCATATGACTGGCTGTAATGATGACAGCGATACTGACTTCCTGAGATCTTACTGTGAATCAGGAAGCTTGGTTTTTATCTTCCTTTTTTACAAAAAGAAGATAAACTGAAGTTGCTTGTTTTATAATTTATAAATTAATAGTTTAGTAATAATTAGTGTATTCTTGGTTTGTTATACTTGACAGTAATATTGTTTTTTAATATTTGAAGTGTTTTTGAAAAGAGGGCTTGGTAAGTTTTTCTTTTGAAGAAAATTTTCTAATTAGAAAATATTATGATGGATGGGAAAGAGTTTTTTTTTGTTTTCATTATTATTTTAATATACAATTATATCTATTCTATTTAATATTAATCAATAACTATATTGATTAAATAATATAATACAATGCTGATTTAATCAATAATAGGTATTTAAAGTTTGTTTAAATATTTAAATTATTTGAAAAAATTTTTATTATTTTGTAATAAAATTTTTTACTGTAATTCAATAACTTTTTTATTTATTTTGAAAACATTTTTTTATTTTTACTTTACAAAGCATATTAACTAAATTTCTTAATATAATATTTATTTGATTTAATTTGATTAAATACTTTTTCTAGTATTTATTTTTTATTTATTAAATATACTATTATTTATTTAAATATTTTTTAAAAAAAAATCAGAAAAGAGAAATATTTTTATCTAGTAGTTATTATAAAAATATATGTTATTGATAAGTCTGTTACTAATTCAGAGCAGAATTTATATAACTATTACTTTAATTTAATAATTCTTATTCAAAAAAGACAGATTTTTTTTTGAAAGAACAGGTAGTCACCATGTACTATTTTTATTATAAATTTTAAACTTGCAAGTACAAGATTTACAATTTTATGGTAAAGTATACATCTCTCTTTACTTGGAAGAGTTTAATGTATACATATAATATAAATTATTTGCTATTGACTCAATTTCCATAATCCTTAAAAATAATTGTGTCATGACTCAATTATTTATATGTTTTAATAGTGACTCAAATAATTGCGTCAAATAATTGTATCAATTGTGTCAAGGATCTATGAATTTCAGCAACATATATAGTTTAATACAAGGCTTACACTCGCGGCCCACTCATCTGAGCTTCTTAATACTATTCAAGAATATAAAAAAAAGAAAATTCAAAACCCATATTATGCCTTGAATAGTGTCTAACTATCTAGAGAATTTGATTACTTAATTATATGAAGGCATTGCAGCTATTATATATAAATTGGCCTCCAAGTTATAACTAGGATTGGTATATTTGTTTTTCAACTGTAGCTTGATATATGACAAGTGGAGCAAGAGTTGATTCCAAACTATACTAACTTCAAATATACCAAAATAAAGCAGATCTTTTACTATTTGCATTTAGCATTGATCCTCTATTCAAATCCATTACTAGAACTAAAAGCCGAAGGGTGATAATTGTCTTTAATAGCAATACAACCTCTTGGTAATATTAATCTTTCACTATTTTTAGCTAGTATATATTTTCCATTTTGAAATCCATTACTAGAACTATAGGTTGAGAGACAGCAATTAATCTTACTATCAGAGTAGTTTTGAAGAATATATTTTGGTTTTAAGATAAGATGGAACTGGAGAGTATGGGAACAAGTTTGGATATAAAGTAATATTTGTTAAGAAAAGTGTTGAATGTGTAGTAGGATTGGATTTTCTTAAAGGTGTTAATATCTAACCTTATACAATAAGCCTACATTGTCAGAGGAGTAAGTGAAAAACTTTTGTTGTCATCACTAGCTCGTGTTGTAGGGGTAACTAGAATCTCTAGTTTTTATATATTATTTTACTAAATTCTTTAATCACCAGTATAACACCTGCAGACTAATCTAGCTTATTATTAACTGCATTGGTATTGACTGCCATATTCTTCTAAATACAGTAGGGCACAACTTCTTGAATATTTTCAGATAATAATAGTTGTATACCAGTTTCTTAGATGTATCTAGTCTAATAATTAACAAGTAAACAACACCAGATTTGGTAATAATAATCATACCAATCTTTTTGAGAGTAAACCATCCGTCCTTTTTCTGTAAGTCCATGAAAGAGAGAAAAATTTCAAAGTACACATCTCAAGAGAAGTTATCACTTCTGAATATAATTTTGAAAAAAGAGAACTGATTGGCCAAAGAAGGGATGTTATGGAAAGCGAATTTATAAAGAAGAAAGAAGCCTAGAAAGAAAACCTTCAGGAAGAAGGGAAAACCTAACTTTGACAAGGAAAAAGAAAAGAGAGGGGGAAGAGGTGAAGTAAATAAAAGAGTATATAGAAGAGAGAGGGGAGAGAAAGTAAAGAGAAAGAGAAAGCGAAAAGTGAAAAAAAAGTAAACAACTCAAAAGTTTTCTAAAAAGAAAATTTTCAAGCATAGAAGAGAGAGTGAGAAAGACAGATTTTATTTGACTAAATTCTTTATTTTTATTAATTACTTTTAGTTTATATACTATATATATATAATATAAAGTGCTAAAAGCTTCTTTAGTTAATAATTAATAAAGTCTTGTAAGGTTAAAGTAAGAAAAAGATTTGGTTTAAATTTTTTACACAATTTTTAATACAAACTTTAATGTTTTATGCTCAAAACTATTGTGAGAAGAGATTTGCATAGTTATATGGACTGATTTTATAATGATTTCAAATCTTTAAAATCTGAGATATACTGTATTTATTATTGTTAATTTATTTCTTGGTTATAGTAATTATAGTGATTATAGTAGAAATAATTAAAATAGTTAGAATAGTTGTTATAGTTGTTATAATTTTACTATAATATTATTATATAAAAGAAAGGCCAAATCAAATAAAGAAGAACTTCTGTAATAGAAACTAAGTGACAGTTTAAGTAATTGTTTTATTATGAATGTATATTGATGAATTGTGAGTTTGTTTTATAGAGTTTAAGGAAGAAACTCAAATCAAACTATTGCATTTCAGCCTTAAAAACCTTAGTAGTGAAGAAGAGTTTGGATAGCACCTCATACTATTACTTAAAACCTTTTGTATTTCTTGTTATAAAAATATAATATTATTAAATCAATTTTTAAACTCTTTATATATATGTTAATTTGAAAAAAACTATTCTTATTACTTTTACTATTTTAAGGATTTCAGCTATTCTAGTTATTTTTTGAAATTATTAAAATAACAAAAATTACTAGAATTTATAATTGTCTTATTACATTATTAGTATTAATTCTATCCTTTACAATAATTAAGACAAATAAGTAAAAACTTATAAAGAGTAAAAGAAAAGATTAAATTTAAAATTTATAGATTTATTAAAATTAAATAATTCATATTATGTCTTTTTATTGTTATTAATTTATCATTATTTTATGGGTCAATGTTTTGCAATATTTTGGATAAAATTGATTATATAACTATTATAATATCTTGTTTATCTTATTTTTGCCTACTATGCAAATAAAAAACCTAGTTTAATTTGTAGTATTTATGTACTGACAGTAATTTTGAAAATTAAATAAAATTGTACATGTATTGTATTTCACCTTTTTTTTTTAAAAAAAACCAATTATGGTATTTTATATACCATCTATACTATAAATTCATCATGACCTGGTTTAAACTCTTAAAATTTTAATAATTTATGACCAACAATCAGGTGTTGCATTTTCTTTGGAAGACAGTATATGGGATTTAGCACTAACTCCACTATTGCAAATAACTTTTTTCTTTTAGCCATACATGTAAAATATATGTGCCAAGAGATGTCTGTGTTAGTTATTGTATTTATAGTTTCTTGCTGAATCTCGGATTTGACTATTGTCGTGGGCTATCCGTCCAGCCCACACTACTGGTTGTCGCTTCTGTTCACAATAAGGTAAGTTTCTAACTCTTGAGGCGTGTTTCCGATTTGGCCGTTCTCTCACTTTAACTTCTCTACCGACTAGCCTAGAACCCTTCCAATGCCAATTCCCTTAGGCAATCCTCGGTTCTCTCTTGTAGTCGCGTAGCCCAAGTTACAAGTCTTCTTTGGTACACTAAACACAAGGTAAGAGTTTATCTGTTAAACGTTACTTTATTGTTTATTACTTAATGTTCACTGACTCTCAACTTCACTCCCCTTACATGCTACTGAATGGCGCATGTATTTATACATGCGCCTGTTATTTACATGTTTATGTCTGATCGCTATTCTACACTACTCTAGAAATTTCCATCAATAAACTTTCCCACACCTTAATTTATCCACCTCAAACTTTTCCCACAGCCGGTCTCATAACATACTAATTACGTGACGCGACGGTGTGTTACGTTACTGCGTCTACATTTTTACCCACGACATTTCCCCGCGCCTATCTTATGCGCACCGTGCATAAGACTGAATTAGGAATCCGATTCTCTCCAGAATTCGGTTGGTATCTATAGTTTGCAATTATTAGTGGTGGCGGGGTATTGGTTGGTGAAATCTCGTCAGTGTCATGTGATATGCGGATTCCTTTGATCTTTCCCTTAGGCGACATTTCGACATCAAGCACTAGTACCAGGTCGCGACAAAGTATACTCAAAAGTTGCCGGTGTAATACAGGTAAGTGATATAATTCTTCTGCCTTGTCGTCCAACGTGTATGCCTCTCCCGTAGTGATTTACTCCCCCGCGCCTTGGTCAACCTTACACGTATCCTGTCTAATCAGGGTGTCATTACTGAAAATGCATCGTGATGTCTCCATGTGCCCTGATCCCCTCACTAGATTTCCGACGAGTGGTTCTGGTGGTGGGTACGCGATGACATTCTCATTGGCTAGTTGTGATTCTCCCTCATTCGTCGTCTTCTGTTTCTCCATTGATATCACTGTCAGCTCATTTGCCCGCTTCTCTGTCTTGTCCTCTGTAGATCCGGCTCCTGCCGCCTCCCTCTTGTTCATCATCATTACTCTCCTACACAATTTCGAAATATTGCACTTCGCCGGTTTGTTGAACCTTTTTTGGAGTATTTTCTTTCCTCAGGCAGTTTCTAGCATGATGCCCCTTTTCGCCACATTCGAAGCCCCTCGGTTATTCCCTTCTGTTGGTGTCTTAGGTCTTCTCGTATTGTACTCTCCAGTGACATTAGGCTTGCCGTAACTCATCCTCAGTTCCCGGAGTTGCTGGTTCAATTCCCGGATCTTGTCCTCTAGTTTTCTTATTTTTCTTGGTTCTTCCTCCCTATCGTATAGCCCATATTCTTCGTTTGCCTCCACTCATTTCGCCTCTTTAATTATTTTCTCTAGCGTAGTGTGGTGCTCGACGGTAATTGACATCGCAATCCTCCTTCTTAGTCCTCCCACGAAAAACCTGACCC